TTGGAATTTGATCGAGTTGTTGTTCTTGCAGTTAATTTTCAGTATGCGTGTTTTCGATTTGCTAATGTTGAGCCCACTCTCTGAGCTGCCTCTGGTAGCTTATCTGTCTTCTTCTGCATCTGTCCGTGATTGTTCGAACCAAATAAGGAAAAATATACATGTATCAGCGTTCCGGAAATCGAGCTAGAATTGCGTCACATTCCTCTTCGTAGCCAGAAACAAATAAACATCGGAGCGGAAATTCGAAGGTATGGAGTTGGATTCCTTATCAAAGACTGTTTTTTCAGTTTCTTTTTCCCATGCTCGAGAATACCTTTCTTACATATACCATACATACCATCTTTCTATAAAAAGAGAAGGTTGATAAATAAATAAAAACGTAATTATAATTTGTAGAAAATTTCCGCGAGTCTCCTGCAACGTATTTTTTTCCTTTCACGCTGAAACTTAACCCCACCTTCATTGTCATTTAGGTGTATTTTCCTTTTAAATCCGAAAAAATACATTCTTTGCTGTTCGAAATGAGAAGAATAAGAAAAAAAATTTCATTAAAGAACTGGAGTAAAAGCTACCTCCACTTTCAAAAGAGGAACAACTAATTTTGAAAATCAAGAATTGCCTACTGTGTTTTGACGAGTATCAATCACATTGTCTATACTATTTCGTTCGAACGATCAACGAAGATTTTTCGCGAACTTCACTTGCTTATCTATTCCTCAGGTGGCGACCCAATTCGGGGTTGACATTAGAGACACGAACGAAATATAAAGAAATGCATAACGGTTACGAATAAAGCACCCCCCAAAGTTTCCTTGCGTCCTGGCCCAAAAATACCACAATCTAAAAACCTCAATAAGCTTAAACTTAATGCTCAATCGATGACATGCCGTGTTGTTGTTTTTTTTTTTGTCCTTCAAGCTGTTTAATCGCCTTTTTGGAATCACTCTCGACCTTTGGCATCATATTTATGAGGAGTTCTCCTCCCATTACCAAAGGTCCAGATTGATCCAATATAAAAGCGTCGAAACAGCTTGTAGTGTGTGACCAAGGTTCATGACACAATGCTTTTGCGATGTAGTGCGTGACCACGGTTCATGACACAATGCTTTTGCGATGTTCAATACAACTAACTCTTCCCGAATCTCCTGACGTATACATGTAGAAAGACTTAATGCAACTTTCGTTAGGATGATATTAAGATCTACCCGACAACTTTAACATACTATGCTTATTTCAAAGTGCTCATTTTTTCCTCAGGTTTCTCGTTAAGATGCTACACTTGTTATTCCACAATCTCATGGGAGGATTGTTTCAAGAAGGACCACTACAAAGACTGCCAAAAATTGTAAAGGTGTCACGACACTGAAATGGTCTGTTCCAATGTTTTCGTTGCGTTGAAGAAAAAAGCTGATCAACAAGAATTCGTGTTTACTGCTTCCTGTCTCTCTAAGGTAAGATGATAGGTTGACCTAATTACCTTTTGATTTTCTGTTTCATTCTGATGGAGTAGCACGTTCCCATTTTGGCGTGAACGATGTTTGAAAATTTAGCTCGAATTTTCCAAAACTCCCGTCGAAGCTAATGCCGTTTCGACTTTTTATCGGGTAATCATTACCGCCAACCTTACTTTTACAAAGAGTGTTAATTCTTTCAATCCCCTCTATATCTAAACCCCTCGGGCAGAGGCAGAGCTCAGGTAAGGTCTCAGACCTGTTGGTTTTTTTCTTAGCTTATTTAGGTGAATGTGTAAATAACAATTTGTGTGTTTTGTGATTCAAAGTTTGGACCTTCCTTACCGAAAATTCCCGGACCCTCCTTGCGAAGAATTTTAATAGGTAGGAACCTTTTGACACATCAGGGAAATGCGACACCCGCTGACCTATTTGAATGCCATGAATCCGAATTAAGTTCTGAGTTTCTTCCATCCTTTTCATTTCCCTTTTCGATCATTCCTTTTAGTCCCCACAAGGTTGCAATGAAGAAGCTAAAGCTAAATGCAAAGAAGATTGGGGATTGGGAGGAAAGTATGAAGCTGTCAATTGTGAGGTCAATTGCTGTGAAACCGACTGGTGCAATAAGGAAGTATCCAAAGGACAAGTGTCATCAATCTCCATTTTAGGTCTAATTATTTCACTCCTATCATGTTATAGTTTCCACAATTTTTGAATTTCTATGAGTTTTTTGAATACACACTCTTCTAGTTCTGAGATTTAGTACCACACAAAACCAGAACAGCTTTTGAAAATAGTTTCAAACCACGCCTTTTTTTAGGTAAATTAGTAGGTCTTGACACTGGACAGGGGATATTTACACTCGCTCAGAAGCATGGGATGAAAAGCAGATTTCAGCCAACCCTTACGATTGAAGGAAAGTTGAAATTTGTAAAAGAAAGAAGATGAAACTATCTGCATCTTGTTCTACCATCCTGTATTTCACTGAAGGCGTTTTATCAATCATTAGGTGACATGTAAACGAGTGCGAAAATACTCAAACTAAGAAAAATCTATGAATGACTTTCGATGATAACACGAGCGGAAAATAAATGATGTTGGCCTATGAAAAAACAAACGAACGAACGAACGACAAACGATAAACTTTCTGGATGACAAAAATATGTTAGCTTATATATTCCAATTAGGAAAAAGGGAAAAATACAATAAATGAAACATCGACTTTGATTACCTTTTCCATCGTCAGTTAGCTGTCAAAAGTATCAAATATAACATTTTGTATTAAAAACCTTTCACGTAAGTTCAAAGGTGACTTTTATGGGGAATGGTAAAGACAGTTTCAACTCCTCCATGAAGTTAAAATTTTTCCGTAGCTTCTTTCCGTAATTAAAAAAAAGATAATGAGAATAATATTAATAATGATAATGACAGTATTAAATAATGCTTGCAGTTATAGTGATAGAGATAAGATAAAATTTGTACTGTAAATTCTGATCATTATAATTTAAGTATTTTAAGTAGATTATGTGTTGTAAATAGCGCATCGTACTGAACTGTGTCGGTTGAATGTTGAAAAAAAAAATTAAAATGCCAATAATAATGATGAATAAATAAAAAGAAAAAAAGCCAGTTTACTGTCTATTATCATTGTATTCAACACAAGATCACACGCTTACGTTTAAAATTCAATCTTGATATGTCAGGTATTCCCGTTAATGAACCTCAGACCCCAAAATCACATACAGTACGCTTGAGCTGCTTGTGCACATATTTTCTCGTGGGTAAAGAAACGCTAATGCCGAAGTCGCAAGCTGATAATGAAATGGCGTGAAGTAGCTGATCATAGTTAACTATGAGCTGATGTTATGAATGTTCTTGACAGTTTGAGGAAAAAAAGGCTACTCGTGGTCTGTTATAGTTGGCTTGATATAAAAGTCTGTTTGTAAAGGTACCACACAACTTGCACATCAATCGAAAGTATTATTTAAAAATACGGTTAAAAAAAAAACATCTTCGAAAGTAACCACGGAATTGGAATAACCCTCGGGACGAGGCTAGGTCCTCAATAAAAGCTCCTCCTTGATTGGCGACTTTTCAAACCCTATATAAACGTCTCTTTGATTGGTTTATTTGAAGGATACATATCATGAAACGCACCACTGTACAGCGTGACACAGTGAAGACTTGCTACGAAGCTACATACGGAGAGAGGCTCGTAGAACTCGTTTCTGAGAGCTTACTTCTCATCAACGCTGTGTTGGCTTTGGGAAAAGTCCCCGGACGTATGCCAGAAAGTGTCAGTCACAAAGAAACATGTTTTTTCTCGAGTCTTCGGCTCCATGAGCCCAGCGGAGAAGCTAAAATCGCAGAGCTGTTGGACGAGAGAAGGACTTTGGTCGAAGCAAAGTTATGCAAGGTGACATCAGTCGCTGATGTTATCTGAACGGGGCTTACTCTCATTGTGTCACCATTTTTTAAATCTGAGAAAGTCATGGCCAACGTTTGAGTACTTTTGATGTCATTTAGGCAGGGTGACTAAGGTCGATAAGATTCTTTGCTCGACACCACGTGGCCGGTTCAATCATGGCGGCGAGTCAGGTGATTCACGGTGTCCTAGTTTGTGTACCTCATTTCTTTCATGCAATTTTCGACTACAGATCAACTTGCAACTCAATTTTTCCTTCTAATTAAACAACTACTAACAAAATGAGAGAAAGATTTCCCTTTGCACACATAGGACACCGTGTTAGGAACTGTTTCTCTAAATTATCAGACCGGTGTTGTCGCTGCTAAGCGCATCGTCCTTTTAATAGAGTATTAAGGTCTGTATATTCGGGACCATTCCCGAAACATTTGGTTCAGCCTTTGAATGGCCTCGATCACATTGAAGGTCAATGTTGAACTGTAAACCTTAGTAAATCTCGGCCTCTTTCATGAGTCGAAGACAGTAACAACTCTGTATTTGCACCCTGCAAAAGCAAACTTATTCGCGAAGGGTCTCGCGAGTACATGTTGGAGTCAATTGAGACTTCCGTGGGAGAAAGTTTGATACGGTCTTGCGTTGATCGGAGTAAGTTAAAGAATAAAGGCTGATAGTTTCTAAAGAAATGTTTGTAAGTTAAATAATGTTGGTTTTGCCTGAGTTAGGCAAGATTGTAAAGTCTCAATATCTGTGGTAGGTTTGGACTTGGCTGTGAGTGATTGCATCTGGTTTATTATTTGCCTCGGACAAAAATGCTCTGTAGCCCAGTGACAGGTTTGACTACCACCGGTGTGGCTCGGACTTTCTTTTTCTCCAATGTGTCTCAATCACTGCTAGAGTTTTCTCAATAATATTGGTAAAAATGTTTTGAGGGATTTGAAAGCCAAAGTGAATAGCTGAAATTTGTGAGTGGCATATCCCTGGAAGAAGTTGGCGAGTTTGATTTTTTGAAGGGTGGAAAGCCCAGGACACAGGAAAATTGTCTTCAATACTCTTCTATACTCTAACTTCTTGTTATAGATACAAGGAAACAAGGGCAAAATAAATGCATTCAGCAAGTAACTGGATTTTCAAGTAGAGAAAAACATCTATTTGTACTTTAATTGATAAACTTAATTGCAACAAAATAAGGAATTCTTCAAACAATCAAAACTGAACTTCACAGATTTTAGTAGTACATTTATATGAATTTTGCTAAAAAAAAGGACAAAACTAAGTTTTCCAAGAGTATAAATGTGATGAAAGGTGGTAAGTTTCTAAAAACCTGTGGTGCTTCATTGGTGGGGGAGTAGAACAAAGTAATTTTGCTTTTATCAACTGAGTTGATAATGTAAATTAGCCACCGTAACGAGTTTCAAAGCTGATGTTTCAAATGTCAGAGCGAATAAATATTACTTATTGATTTACTTCAAAATTGATTACCTACAATGAAAATGACTCCACAATGTGAGAAGACATTAAAGTCTGAGTATTATCATTGTCCAAGCTAAATGAAAAACACTTTTGGTTCAGTGCCTCAATACATTGCAAGGACTAAAAATGAAAACTGTGTTAAAATATGAGGAACAAAACTTCTCTAAATCTGAACTCACACTTTTAAAAAAATGCATAGCAATCCATTTTCTATCCATGTTCAACTGCCAGTTTGACTAAAACAAAGGTACTCCAAATATAATGCAAGTTTTGGTGGGAAAACTTCCTATGAATACATCTAAAGAGACCATCACTTTTTTTAAGTGTTAACAAAGCTGTGCTCTAAGGAGAATCACTAGGTGCCTTATAGCTCTTGTCACAGAAATCTGAGGTGATCATCTCTGCAAAGTTAATTGAACTGGTTTCCCCAAGACAAAAGTTAGTCACCAGTGGGAATCCATTTGGCAGAGCACAGTTCTGGGTTGATATTTGTGATTTGTTTCTGGCCGAAGGGTTTTTAAACAAAAGAAGTCCCTCAAAACCCCACGCAAAGAGAATTTTGGCATCTTTTCAGGGGATTTAAAATCTACATGATCAACCCAAGTTTTTTCCCCAAATAAGGAGCTTTGGTTGTATCTCACAAAGTGAATTCTGTACCTGTCCAGTAATAGCGTGATGTGGATCTCACTCGTGTACTTCAGAAGGTTCCCTTCTGGCTGCATTCAACCTCTCTTGCCTGCTTCTGCCTATGCTCTAAATGCCTGCTATGGTTAAACCCTATAAACCACAAGAGTGACCAGTGTCTATCTTCTCCTTCTAGTTTTACTCCTGAATCATTCATTAAGATCATGAGAATAGAGAAAATGATTGCCAACTAAAGAAGCTGATAGATGAACCGTGACACTCCTTGTCGGTACCAAAGGAAATGTATAGAGAACAGTATGGAGAATATGCATACTAATGTTAGGGTGTAAACCTTTACGCAGCAGAATGCATCATAGGTTTACAGTTGCCTTTAACTCCAGTGTTAATATATTTGAAAAATACTAGCCACAAATAATATACAATTCTCTAACGTTATTAAAGAGAATTAGCATCGTGTCAGAGTTCAGTTTTAGCTGTTGGATCACTTTTTGCACCAGCTCCTGGGAACTGCTGATTGTCAAATTCAACTAATTTACAGTCTGGCTGAGTAATCAGAAAATCTTTTACATCCCAAGCCAGGCTCCCATCCTTGAGCATGAAGAGGGCACGGTCATCTGCAACAATATACCTGAGGGTAGACAGAAGATTTATAAATAGTGAATTGGTTTAGACAAATGATTCTCTGAGACACAATTTGTAGGTCTACTCTGTTGGTCTAATGATTCTTTCATCCATTTGTTATTCTCTTTTTTTCCACTGGAAATTATACCAAATACTAAATTCAACCCACAGAGGAGTCAAATAGACTGAATCAAACTTAAACTGCAAAACTGTAACAAAAAGATGAGGGACTCTTACCAAAGTTACCAAAAGTTATAAGTAATACAATTAATATATATATACACATACACACATGGTTACTAGTTTGAGCACTCTGGCATGGCTTAGATGATACCATAAACGTGGAATCATTTGGGGTGGCTTTATAGCTTCACCTCCATTCTAGAATCAGCACTGCACTGATGAGGCCCAGAAGGCTGAAACAGTACTGTCTACAGTTAGATATAGCTCTTTAAATAGCATTACAAAGCTATGCTTTGACGTCCAAATTGAACACTCTGCTAGGATGAGTCATTTTGTGTAACTGTGCGAAGTTCACTAGTTACTAGTTTGAGCACTCTGGCATGGTTTAGATGATATACCACAAATGTGGAATCATTTGGGGTGGCTTTATAGCTTCACCTCCATCCGAGAATCTGCACTGTACTGACAAGGCCCAGAAGGCCGAAACAGTACTATCTGCAGTTATATATAGATACATATCTACTTATATACTTGTAAGAAGCAAAACTATTGATACAAATGAGACTTGAGATAAATAATTGTGTTGTACAATACCTTTCAACTTGAAGTTGAGCATTGAAAAGACTCGTCTGCCACCTTGCAGTTATCTGTTCTGTTTCTTTTTTACTTGGATTACCAGCCACGGATGCAAACATCATGATAACTTTCCCCTTCTTAGATGCTTTCAAAAGAGCCATTGGGTCATTCTTGAACTGTTGGGGATCAAAACCTCCACCTGAGGGTGGTGGCTTTCTAGGATCATTGTCATCATACCGATCCTCCTCGTCAATATCCTCGTCATTTTCCTATGTATAAGGGAGAACATGTCACTAAAGCACCCCCGCATAGTTGACCATTCATCTCAGTGAAACCCTTGGGATCAGCAAATTACTGTACATAAAGTGGCTAAGTGGTATCCTACAAGATAAATTCCACTAGATAGTGGAACTTCCTTTGGAGGACACACTATTGGGGCTAAAGAGAGTGTCCCCTGAACTAAGGTAGCCCTTGAATGATACTGAAATATAAAGAGATTATAGGAGCTTTTAATTCACTTGGGAACAAAGTCAATGCCCTTCAAATGGAGGTGTCCCTTGAGAGAAATTCAACGATAAGTTAATTAAAAGATATTTTCAAAAATCGAAAGAAATTCAACAGAGAATCAGAGCCTCCGGGACTCTGCTGCTTGGAAGAACTCTTAAAGAAACTCTCAAGACAACACTCAAGATTTCGTCCACCCCTCAAAAAATTGAAAATGTATTTTTCAATCAACTTTACCACAAAATATTAGCGGCCATCGGTATAATTAATTTTAGAGCATCAAATGTTTTTCATGATGGCTCTAAATAAACTAATTTCACGCTAAAACTACTGCCATTCTGCTAAAAATACATTAGTGAGACTAAAATCTGTGCTCTATGATTTTGAGAACCTACTGCATGATAAGTTTAAAGGAAATACAAAAATATATACATGTCTTCGTGCTTACTTCCCATTGGTCGAGTAATTTGTGCAGATCTGCGTCCGTGTAATCCATCACATTCTTGCCTATTTTACTGTTCTTTTCCTTCTTATTCTTCGAATCTGATTTCTTATCTTTGCCAAAACAACTGTCTTGCAGAAGAAGGACGAGAAACAATATTAAAAATGAAAAAGCGAACTTGCAAGAGAGTCTCGCCATCGGCATTCGAGGAAGCCACTTGGCTGACAAAGTAGGCTTAGATTCGTGTAGAAAACACCACATACCTGCCGAAACAAGACCTCTCCTAACTCTATAAGATCGCTGGCTCATTTAGAAAACTCTTACAATACCTGACAGAATGTCATAGCCTTATATTAAAATAAAAAAAAACGTTTGTGGGGTTTTGTAAAGGAGTAGCTAAAGATGCTATTAAAGTATATAATTACTTCTCAATTTCTTAACAAGACAATGAATTGTTATGAAAACTCTTTTCTTTCGCTAAATTTATTGCATATTTTTCCAAGGTTCGCGCCCTCTTTGATTTGAAATCCGGAAGTTCTCAGAGAGTCATGGGATAGATCCCTCGATTTGGAAGTGACTGAATCCCTGTTAGAACTGACCTCTTATGGATTTTGCGAAAATCAGCTGAATCAGACATGCGATGGAAGCCACCAAATCGAAGAGGAAACATAAGCGGAAGTCTAAAGATGCGGCCACAAAATCTGCACAAGCGGGGGAAGAATCTGAAGCCTCAAAAAAAGGTTTGTGTTGCTCGTGTTTCAACGAGGAGGGTTTTGTTTTGTTTTGAAGACAAGAGAGATTTATGAAATGTATCATGTGATTTCTGATTTGATATACGTTTTTTCTGTCCTTGATTTTACAGAAGCTACTCTCAGTACTGTCTCTGAAAGGGAAACGAGTGAAGTGACAAAGCTAACTGAAAATGCTTGTGCAGCTGAGCCCGTGATAGAAGACCTTCCCCGCATTTCTAAATCAGCTGAGAAAAATGAGCTCAACAAAGATGTCACTGCGAAGGAAGATGTTTCACTGAATGAAGAAGAACTGGGAAATGTAGAACAAAATATATCGGAAAAGGAAAATGAACAGGTTTTACCCTCACAGAAGGACGAAAATGAGACTGAGGTTGTCAAAGAACAGGAAAGTTTCAACAGCGAAACAACTTCAAATATGAACGCTTCAGGCATTGCAGTTGAGCTTGAATCAAAATCTTCAGCTCATGCAGAGTATATCATGAAAGATGACGTCCAGGGGGACATTAATAAACCTGAAATTTTGTCTACATTTGAAAGTCAAGCTGTCGATAAATGTATGGCACAGGCGACAACTGGAGTTGAAATGGATGCAAATGATCAAATTCCTAATCAATTACAGAAAGTCATTGAGACTGAAACAAACGCAACTCTAACAAGCGGAACTTTAGAACTGGACCACAAAATTAAGAATAAAGATGAAGATCAGAGTGACAAAAACAAATCTGAAATTGTGTCAACCCTAGAAAATCGAGGCATTAGTGAGAGTACCACACAGGCTTTGACAGAGGATAAAATAGAGAGGAGGCATCAAATTCCTGATCAAGTTGTGAAAACAAAAGAAAATGATACAAATACAATTTTTAAAAGTGGAAGATTAGATCAGGATAACAAAGTTGACAGTTCTAGAAATTTATTACCACAAGTTGCTGACAAGGAGTTACCACTACTTAGCCATGGCGATGTCAGAACACCACAATTATATCCAGGACTAGACTCCAAAGCCAAAAAGTCAGGTAAGGCCTGTTTGGTCCATTTCTTGTATATTTCACCTTGTTAATTATCATAAATGGACAAGTGTACCTATGATCTACACAATCATGTTTAAATCAAGGGCAAGAGAAATTTCTGTTGTAGATCTGATCAAATTCAAAGATGCTCAAAGTTTTTAAGCAGTGTTGCCCAAATAGTGCGGTGGATAGCCTTGTGTGGCTTAAAATAATAAAAAAGGGGGTAAATTTTGAGCTTGTAAACGAAATGAAGAAAAATATTTTTGTTATCTCATCAAGAGTATGGGACACAGAGAAACTGTGAATTAATTGCCATGATGCACTAACCTCAAACCATTGGATTCTGCACTCCTCTACTAATCCACAGAGACTCTAGAGCGAGCTCAGCAATTGCTTGGCTTATATATATCACACATGCCCCACATACTGCTACTACTGGAGTATAGAATCTGAAGGCCTAACTTTTGAATTCTCTTTAGTTGCATGATGACTCACAATTTTTAGTTTGCCCAGTCCCAGTGTTAAGGCAAGAACACATCTTTTTTTTCCACTGATATTACCTATAGCTTGAAGTTTGCCATCTTCATCATTCTATTGAATCATGCAAGTCTTTTGACTTTAATGATCCTTATAGAAGTATGTGGGATGGGGGTGGTATATGAACCTCTTAATGGTCTAGCTTACAGTAGAGTCTCTTTGGTTCAGTGGTAGACCGTGAGAGCACAGGTTTCATTTATGTGTGAGGTTAGCTTTCTCATTGGGAATTAGAATTGATGTACCCAAATTTTCCAAAGATATTCAGAAAGATAAGTGTTGACACAACCTTCTCTATAATTGTGCCCTATCTATCTTAGAGAGTTCTTGAGAAAGTATCACTCCGCTTTGAAGTATATTTTTAGGAAATTATGTTAGTCAAGGATTAATAGGGAAAGTTTTTTTTGTTTGGCAAAAAGAAATTGTTATTAAATACAAGAAAGAGAGTTGTGTTCAGTATTGGATGTTGACTAGATTTTGTTGCCAAAGAAGAGCTTGCTAAATGCATGTAACATGAATGCTTGGGTAACACCCTTTTAATCTTATGAGTGGTACAGTCTGCTGCTGGTTATTAAGATATTTTTGTTTATTGAGGCAGAAGCAGAAGAGCAAGTTTTTGTTTCCTTGTGTGATAAAAATGGGGAAGGATGTTGTTTCATTTGGTGATCAATTTATAATGGTAACAGGACAGAGTGGGGTCTGATTCGGACTACAATTATACAAGTATGATTATTGAAAGAATTGAACAACACAAAGTCCTGTTACCAACTAATCAAAACTATAACAAAATTTGAGATAGAAGCTACACATCAGTTATACATTTTTATAAACAAGCAACAGTAACACACTCAGGTATGTGTCAATTGTCCTTAATTACATCATCCAATTACAGGTATGACACATACGCTGTCTTAAGTGTTACGACCAGGCTGGTGATAAGCAATCATGTTTGAGGATTTTGTTATAGTTTTGATTAATCTGACTATGTGAATTATTCACTCTTTTTGCTGCTCTCTTGCCAAACAGTAACAAGCATAAGGCAGTACAGAATGACCCTAGAAGCATTTAGTGAAGACCACCTGAAAACTCTGTACTTCAACCCCCTGCTGGAACAGATGGAAAGTTTTGTGGAGAATTTTATTAAGGTACAAGTCAAGCAAATACCTATGCAGTATTCCCCTGGAGTGGGTTGCCTGTGGTGGTATTTTGGTTGGTGATATGCAGTTTACACCTATTGCTGTTCAACATTTTTCATGGTTTAAACATTTTCAAGCCTATTTCCTTCATCTCAGTTATTTTATTGTTACCAGAATCTGAGACCAAAGAAAACTAAGATGTTCTATCTATATAATTTATGGTTCTTACATTCAACTTACTTGGCAGATTAGCAAACAGGATGATCATGAGTTCTATGAACTTGTCAATGCATATTTCAGAGGGAGAAATGCTCTGGCATTGGCCATAAAGGAATATGAGGTTTGTAAAATCCATGAAAAATAAAATGCAAGGTTCCGAGCTTGAATAAACTGAATTTCTACCAGTCTATGGCCAGTTGACTACTGTTAATGTTTCAGCCCTGTGAATGTGTGTCAATAATAAATACTTAAGTTTACCTTGGTTGTAATAGATTGTACTTGCTGAGTGTGAGAAGAAGAAAGAGCAACTGTGGATTGACAAAAGTTTTTCAGTTACAGCTCAGGTAATGAAGTTATTAAGACTGACTTGTCTCCATTATATAGAGTGATTGATGGACTGACTGAATGACTAATTGATTTTTTGATTAATTAATTAAGTGACTTTATGAAGTCACTGATCAAGTCACAATCAAGCAGTCGACTGACTGCTTGATTGACTAACTCATTAATTAATTGACTGAGTGGTTGACAGACTGGTAGACTGAATGACTGTCTGACTCAATGACTGTTTGACTAATAGACAGATTCTCTGATCTTTTGATCGACTTTCTAATAGGTAAGCTTGTTTATGGACTTGCTAACTGACTAATTGATGAACCCAATCACCCACCAACTGACAGATTTGTTTTGAATGGTCACTAAATGCACTGATTTCAATTTATGTGTAAATATATATTAAAGAAAAGATCATATTTCACTTGAGTGTTCATCACTAAAACTGACTAAAATTGACTTTACCACTGTGACAATTGTAGGGAAAATGTCTGGATCAGATAAATGTCACACACAACCATAATTACCAGCAAGTGGAGTTAAATGCTGGTGTGCCTGGTGAGATTGAGAATATGCTTGGAAAACTTCATAAAGCTTTACATGAGGTAATATGGTTTGGCACTTGTAGTGTATTGATTTCCATAACAACCGTATCACACCATATGCTGTACAATAGTAAGATTGTGTGACAACTGCATGCTGTAAAACTACTATTCCTGAGTATCTGTAAAATTGTACTATATAAGTAGAATAACCACATGCAATAAAGGGGAGAGTTAAACAGGTGAAAGGGACGAGAGTACTTGTCGGTTTTGAACCCATAAATGACAACTCTACAGCACTCAATTGACTCTTTTCCTGAAAGTTTATTATCTGTTTAAGTGCTGAAAAAATAAACCTGGGTGTATCCCATTTTTACCATAAGTAAGGTCCAAAGTGTACCATCTCTGTCTCAATTAGAAATGAGCTCTTCCTAGGGATTTAGAACATTAACTGCATGTCAGGTTGACTAGAGGCTAATTAAACCCTTATTAGATCCTGTTTATATATGGCATGTACATGTCACATAATTATATACTTTATGCTATATTCCAGCCTCAAATGACCACAAAATATTAAAAAAAAATTATAAGCCATCATTTCATTGAAAAAAAGGAAATAAACAAAGAGCTCAAAAATTGTAAAAGCTGTGCATGGTTCGATAGCCTGTTCCAGACATTCAGCGAGTAAACCTAACCAAGGTATTAAACAGTATGATAGTTACAAAGGAGTGAAAAATGAGAGAGGTTTGGGTCAGGTTGTGTAATGAAAACCATACCTAAATACCTCCCTCATTAATTTTTTTTGCCCTGATGCTAGTCTCAGACCATTTATTATTTTGATTAGTTTTACCAAGGAAACAACTGCCAGGAACAAGACTGGTGAATAGTTGAAGCATGCTTCATTGGCCCTTGTATACAGTCATAGAAAGTGGTTGCTGGGCTATCAAAACTCTGTGATAGCTTTGTTATCCAAGGGTACATTTTTAATTAGTGGAATTTTTTAAGACTTATATTGATATACTTTTGTTATTCCAGACACTTGCTTTGCAAAGATACACATGTCAGCTTGCTCGGCTTCATATCGACATGTACATTTTCGACATGTTGTCTCAATCACCCATTTTAAGGAATGTTTCATCTGAAACACTAGTGACTGGTAAGAAGGAACTTCATCAGCTTGGAATACTTCTCCTCTTAACCATGTTTGCAAGTTCTAAGATAAATTATTATGATTGTAAGCTTTCTGTTCGACCTTGTTGAGCTGCATCGTTGCTGTACTCTGCGACGGGGATTAGCAGTAAATATTATTATTATTATCATTATTATTATTATTATTATTGATGTTATTATATTCAAGGCTGTCTGGTCCAAGCTTTAGACAACCAATCCTTCAAGTAATATTTCATGCATATGCATTTATTTTTCTTGCAAAATTTTTAAGCTGAAGTAGGTTGCTGATGTGGCCTACATTTTTTTTGTCACTGGTTCAAGTTTTTTTCTTTGTTCAAAACTCACTACATTAGACACATCCTTGAGAAAAATGCAGCTTCAAACCAACACTGAATTTGAACCACACAATCTGTGTACAGGACCTGATATAACTAACAAGAAATTCCAAGAAAATCAGGCTAGCAAGCTGACACAGTTTTCTTTTCCAATTTAGAATTGTGCCCTGTTGAACTGAGCCCAGATCTTCAGGCAGAGATCCACAAGTTGAGGGACTGTATCAGTGTATTGTTCATGTTTGTTCGACAACCAATTCAAGATGAGGAGTTTGTCAACATTTTGAATGGCTGGATGGAACAGCTGGTATGGTGTGGCTTATAATGTTTTGATGAGGCACAATTAGGGTGGGGTGTTGTCCAGGTTTGCTGCTAGAATTGTGAAATTAGCTTTCCTTACAAGAAGCCTTCGTAATAATTATGTGTCCTATCCCAAGCAAAGAGATAGCCCTGGATAAAATTCTGTAACACCTTTGACAGTAGACTTCTCACATCATGATTTGTTTCAAAAAAATTTAAATGGTCCAAAAATGTGGAATGGTGAGCAAACTGATCCAGAAAATGGGTAACTTGTTAGTCATGTTTCATTGGTGTGTTGGTAATTAGCAGACAAAGTACTTACAGGACCAGAAAGGTTTGATTATTTCCTGGGGAAATAGAAACTTTTGATATGCTTAAGAGACCCTATATCTTAATTGTTATGACTGTTTAAAAGCTGTGCCAATTTTCCAGTAGAGATCAGCTATTATAGCATTATGATTATTCCTGAGATCTGTAATGTGTAGTTGAGTGTTGTAATGACTTGATGTTTTGGTGGGTAATGCAATAGTTATATAGTTATATAATTATATATGTTGGCCATGACATTGTTACCGTGTCTAAACATAAATGGCATAGGTTTCCAAAACATGTTTTTCACAAAATTGTCTTTTTATGCATGAACAAATAATGCCTATCATTAACTGAAAATTTAGGAATGAATGGGAGTTACCGTCATAATTGATATTATTACTGGTAATTATTATCCAATTGTGCTTCTTAGAGTGCAAATAACATGTGAGATGAGTACATATATCATGCTATATTTGTACTCCAAAAATATCAGCGAAATTCGCCCACACTGAAATAATAATTTGGCGTGTTGGATAATAAATTTCTTATTAGACGTTTTGTTGTGTAGTATCACTGGGTATTTTTACTTGTTGTGTGTATTTTGGCTCACCCTATGGGCTCATCAAAATACAGCACAACTCAGCGATACTACACAACAAAATGTCTAATAAGATGTATTTATTACATATTTAATAATATACATGAAAAAATTTCTCAGTTCTGATTGGTTAAGATGAATGCAGTTTTCAGTAATTCAGTGCAGAAGAGGGTTGATTCAGTGCAAAGAAAGAAACAAACCAAACATTTCTAATTGGTCAGAATGATTGGTCAATGTCAATGTCAAGGTCAATGTCACTTGCAGGGTTTGAATAAATTATTTTTGCACCTGATGCAACTGCTTTTCTTCTGCGTAGTTATGAGGAGCTACCTCATATTTTTTCATGTATATTATTAATACATAATCACATGATTTTCCCATGCAATTTTGAATGAATAAGCACTTGTAAATTTTTTCAAAGACCACAAATTCCACTCGCCTTAGGGCTCATGCAATTTTGTTAGTCTGAAAAAATTTACTCATGCTTATTTATTCTAAATTGCACTCGAAATCATGTGATTACCTATACAACTATTACAATATACAACTATCACGTAGGTGGACATTTTTTCTCTTCATTTTTGTAAAAAATTTTCAAGAGAAGCAATGATATGTGGTCCTTTCAACAGGTTGCTGTTCTTCTGCGTGTAGCTTCCCTGGCAGATCTAGTGTTCTTGCTAAATCACTTGCTGAGGTGTGCTCCAGGATTCACCAGTAAAATTGCCCAATTCATTCAGTTTCCTGTACCACAGTTCAGAAGCCATGGTTATAATGTAGTAGATGAACCCTATTACTGGGACAATCCGCTAGTTCATCATTTTGTGGCCATGTTATCTTCTCTGCTTCTCCCTGTCAGGTAACCTAATGTTGAAGATTAGTATATTCTATATAATTATCTTATTAGCCAAGTGCGAGGGCCGTACTGGGAGAATATCGGCCCGAGGTCTTGACAGTACGGACCGAGCACAGCGAGGTCTGTACAAAAAAGACCAAGGGCCGATATTCTTCCAGTACGGTCCCGAGCAAGCTTGGTTAATAAGAGATTTATTATACGACTGAAGTTCAAAGGGACACAAGTGCGGTATCATTCGGGACCATTGGGGACAGTGCCTGGTCCAATACTGAGAGAATATTGACCGTCAATAGAGTATTTTGATTGGTTGATTTTAGTTATTGGCCCTCTGACCGCCCGAGTCGCGTAATAAAAGATATTATTTGGGAGGGAAGGATCAAGCTACTAATTTCGATTGACTTTTTAAGTGTGCTAACTCAACCTTTGTGCCTAAAGTTCATTTCTTTCTCAGAATTTTTCAATTTGTTAACCCAATTTTTAACACTCACCTTTCATTTTTGTGTGTTTCCTTCCTCTATGTGCTCATGAAATAGATTATAACTAAAAATAAATAGATAACTTTATGTAGACATTGATATTTTAATTTTATATCATATGACTGTGCTTCTTATGGAAACACATTTAACTTAAACAAAAACCAGCACTGATTAATTTTAATGGAAAAAAGATTTCTCTTGGTAGAGGTTAACTACTGGACTATTTACCAGGTAAAGTTGAATAGCCAAACCTGAAACTTCCAAATTTCGAATCAAGCACCACAAAATACTCAGGCAAGCTTGCCGCAAGATTTGTTTACATATTAAAATCACACTGTTGGAATTTGTTTTTTCCATTATTATTGTTAGGATATGAACAATGTCGACCTGACAATGTACTCTAAGTCAGCAATTTGTGAAATTGTTTTCAACTGAATCTTTTGGTAAAGATAAAGGTAAATTATTCATGCAGACTTAGTACGCTGTTAAACATTTGCTTCATGTCATGAGTAAAGATTATCATAATTTCTTTTCATTTTGTTATTACAGGGAAAGAGAAGTATTTTTGCAGAAACTTGCTCTCAGAAAAGAAGGTAATTTCAACCATGACACATTCATGTCCAGTTATTATTTAGCATGCTCTCCGAAGCTCGTTTGGCAACCTTGGCTTGGAGCTTTTCTGTTGAAAATTTTTCATGACTTAGAGATACATAATTGTACTAAGGATTGTTGAAAGTGTCTCTGCAATGCTATTGAGATCATGATGATGATAAAGGAAATGATATCATATACCTGCAATAAGTTTTATTGTGTTGCTCAGGTGATTATAGACAGCTATGTAGTCAGTCCTATGGGTGAAAAGTTGCATTACATGTTGAAATCACCCCATGTAAGGTGATGACAGATTCAAAGTGCTATTTTAAAAATGGTCATCTAATGCTTTGTTGATTCTAAAGATGAAATAAGTAATGTGGAAAAATACCTTCTCTGATTGTCACCTGCTACTCTGCTCAGTTATTACGTCTGCACAGTAAAGGAATTATCAATTCAAAGACATTCACCTCGCATTTTTTTTTTATTCCTCTAAGGTTCCATGAGATCAATCAGTTGGACTATTGTGGATGATGATGGAGAATCCTTGGAGGTAAGCACTATTTAAGTATGCACAGTGCATTGACTTGACTTCTGATCAAATGTATCTGTTTTAGAAATGTATCAAAATATGTATATTTCCTTTTCTATTTGGTGTTATTGATTCAAAGACAATGAGATACATCGGTACAACAGTAAGTACCTGTATTACGTAGGCTGGGTGTGGAAAGGCTGAATCTGAAAGTATTTAGCCTGAGGTCAAGAAGTGAAGACCAAGTTCAGGGAGGTGTGTACCAACAGTAAGGGTCAAGTATTCTAACTTGTGTCCTTCTTTTTATCACATTTCATGCTTTTTTCTCTCGTCCCATTTTGTAGCTCACATCTTGCAGGACAGTATGCCTTTTCTAGCCTTGCCCACACCATTGCATGTGACCCTCATACTTGGACTTTTGTCAAATGCTTTAAAGAAAAGTGCTTGCAAGGCTTTGCAGGTCATGTAGAGTAGTAGTAGACATCTATATTTATACAGGATAGCCCCTTCAGTATAGTAAACACTGGTATCAACGGGGTCCTGTTAACCACCCATCCCACCCCAGGGGAGGACATCCATCACACAGTAATCTTGTGCGTGGGAAATTAACGTCTCCTGCCCCTAACCTTGCAGGAGACGGGACCTCCATTTATTCGTCCCTATCCAAGAAGACTAGAATATCTAACCATTTCTTGATGTTATAGAAAGGTAGCATATTCTTCTCAATTATCTTAAGACCCTGAGTGTTGGTCTGGCCGGGGCTCGAACCCTCGACCTCCCACACAACAGTCCAGTTACATCATAAAATTACTGTATGTGCTCTCAGTACAAAAACCAGAACATGCTTAAGAACCATTGTTGACCACTTGGCTTGTTTGACTGTAGATTTAATTGTTACATGCATTTTTGAAAACTGGTTCACAGTGTACTTGTGCTTTCTTCCAGGATGAAGATCCAGAGACAAGTTGGGTTTTGATTCAAGAGAATGATCTCATAGCATTGTTCTCTCAGTTTCCATTTGATGCCATTTTCAAGCACCTACTTAAAATGGACCCAAACATTCCAAGTAAGCCTTCCCTTAGTTTGTAATGAAAAGTTATAAATATGTTTTCTTATACCATACATTTCTGCAGATATGCTGGATCAGACCTCTATGTTGAAAAATAATTAATAAATATTATAATTATATAATTACAGGTATAAGTAGAAAGGAACCCTCCCAGAATTAAACCAAAATTTGGAAGTGTCTCTCAATGGTTTTTTCCAATAAGGTTTTACTAGCCACATGTGCATAAATTATGTACTTGTACATGTAAGAGGTCTGGAATATTTTTGACAAGTAAGAAATAAACATGATCACTATTAAATGGAAGTACTGTTGAACTAGAACTGTCTGGTGAGATGCTGTAACCTAAATTATACTTAGACACTCGGATACACTGGTCTTAAAAATGACAATGATGTTGAAATGAAGACAAAGTTATTGTAATTTATTAAGCAAATTTTTTAAAATTGTTGTTCAGGTGCATGTAGCAAATGATTAGATAACATAAAGAAGATGAAAATTGTTGCATTGTTTTTTTGTTTATTTTGGTGTAATGTAAATCTTCATATGATTTCAGATGATTGTCTAATCGAGTCACACTATCATGTGGAGCACACTTCAAGCCGTGATATAATGAGAATGTTGGCTTTTGCATCTTGTGTTGTATGTGTGATGGGAAGGGCATTCCGAACTTATGAGAAAGTGCGTTATAGAGCATTTGTCAAAAGAGTGGGGCGAACTATCAGGTACTTGCTGCAGCAAACTTGGGACAAAATCTTATGGTTTGACCTAGACAGTAAACCTTTTCATACATATGATTTTCATCTTACAATTGAAAGTAAGTGATTATCCTGTCTCTGTTTCTCTTCAAATTCATCAGTGTTAAATTTGAGATTCAAGTTTTTCGAATTTTTAACCGATTCTCAGATACAGGTTGAATACTTATCTGGAAAATAAGAAAATCTTTCAGACAGGTTGTACAATATGTTTTGGACCACTGGTCAGATTTTCGAAGTTGGAGAGTGAACATATGTGGAGACTCTGAGAATTCCATTCCAGATTCTCTCAGTTCTGGTAATCAGTACTCATTACAAAGACTTCAAGTAGAGGTTGATCAGTTCTTTCTCCGTGCTGCACAACAGATCATTTCTGCACACAGGTATGTACATTCATCCATTGTACTCGGCAGATATCCAGATTGTTTTGGAATGATATGGTAAGAGTGCAATGTTACTGTATACATAGGTGCAAGTTGCAAGATTAGCATGTTGAATTTCAACCCTAAAACAGCATTAATAGTTTTTCTTATGTATGACATGAATAATTCCAAACCCTATTTGTTGTAATAGTTAATGAACCCTCTGACCAAATTCTTTTAAAAAGTAATCGTTACAATTTGATGATTGAACCACACATGTTAAATTTGGCAATTCTTGAAAATCGAAAGTTGAAGCCCTTAATTCAAGCTTGAATTCTCCGAATGATCGAGGATCAAATTTGAGTTCGTACTGTTTTGCAACCTTTGACTAGTACTGGAGGTTGAAACGTGTTTTTAAGGGCATTAACAAAAATTTTGTTACCTATAACAATAACTTGTAAATTGAATATTATCATTTGTTGCAAAATTTATGATATTATTATTTGTTGCAAATTGAATATTATCAACTATAACTCCAAATGATGTACAGTGCACTATTGCCCAGGGTAGCCTTGTGGCTATTTATATGGCTATTTTGATTTTTACTCTGCTTGTTAATTACTGGATATGCTGAATGCAGTGTATATAGCATGTGGTTTTTCATCATAGGCTGGGTGCTTGGCAGTTTTTGGCTGATATGCCATTTCGCAGTGTTTCTTCAGAAACTCTCTGGAAGTTGTTCTGGGCCCTCCATGTAGATGTTACCAAACTTGATTCTGTAGAGAGCATTAAGCAAGAAGATTCAATGAGGGAAGATTGGAGAGATGTTCTGGAGAGTTAGTACTATTGAAAATAAAAACTGAAAATTTATGTGATTGTTTGATATTGAATATGAAAATTAAGCAATAAATTGTCCTCAAATTTTGATCTTTTCACCAAATGTAGGTAGACAGGGGGAATTTACAGACCAACTGGCCACAATGTCGCAGTCAGAAGCCATCTTTCTGCTCACTACGTTTACGAACATCGCGACATCCAGAGATGGCAAGGAAAGAGAGTTAATAGAAGCCATTACCACAGAGGTTTACAAGGTATAAAATTTACTCAAGGACTATGTTTGAAAGCAATCTATGCTGAATTTTGCATTACTTTTTCCTCATTTGGTAATGTTATCTGTTTTATAGAAGCAGGTACTGGTAAGTATACATGAGTCTTTGACTCTCAGAATCTTTGAAGTTTGCAGAAGGGTCCTTTCTGATTCCTTGTGTGCGTCCAAAAAGATGTAGACACTTTTAATACACTATCCCTCTAGTTGATATCACAGTCTCATCGCAAAGTTAGTAGGAAATGTTTTTTGTTAAAGTACTGAAAATAGTTGTAAAGGATTAGATGTAAATAACCTGCTCTGCTCTGCTCTCGACTGACCTCTTTTCTTTTTACAGGTTTCCTTCATAGCTAGTCAAACCAGGGAGTCATCTTCTAAGACTGGAAGACATCTCTTAGGAACCATTTCCAGTGTCCATCCCTTCGTGATATCGGTTTTGCTTGAAAATGTCAGTGCAACACTGGATACTATTGGGAAGGTAAACCTTTTTAGGTGTGGTGTACTGATCTCTGTCTCGCAATGATGGGACTAATGCCAAAAAAGTAAGCCTTGGAAATGATTATCAATCAAATAAACCCATATGCATTTTATGACGTGCCTATATGTCATACGCCTAAGAATTCTCACTCTGTTTAAAAAAAATATGAATGGTAGCATCACGATATATAAAAGGAAAGAAAACATGACGCGATTACACAAGTGCTTCGTGGTCTCGGTTAAGTGAAACGAACCAGCAAGAGATCTTCTAGGTATCTGGCACTAATATTAGTACCAGAGTTCTTGCAGACCTATCGCCGGCTGGCGCTTCTAAAGGCCTTGAACGTTCACGCTGGCTAAGAAATGCTCGCATTCAAGCGCACTGACCGCTTCTCAGAACTCAGCATACAAGTGTCACTTGAAGTCACGATAAATTGCTTAATAGATAAGCAAATAAAGAAATAAACAGTTTAAACACATCTTCAAAATTTACTAGGAACAGCTTTGACACTCACTTGTCTCATATGCTTTTTTTCGGTTCTTACTATTGTTATGTCATATGTTATGTATTGCTAAGCAAATGCACAACAACATGACATCATCACTTTGTTTTTCTCAGGCTTGTGTCTACTTGTTCAGTGGTTTATCAGTTCATCTGTGGCATCCAACATACAGGAACATGGACTGCATCAAATCCTGGTTATTAAAGGCTGATTTGTCCTCTCCAGAAAATCAGCTTGCACGTTACATTATTTCAAACTTAAACTGGGGACATATGGGAGAGGTATGTTCAAACAGAATCTTATTTTGTATTGATATAAAAATAAGTTGTAACATTAATTCACTCCACTATAAATCATTTTGTGGCAACTCTTGTGAAACCTGCTTTGTACAAACAGTAGGTGAGGCCATTAGTCGCTTTTCTTGTCTGCTGATTCACCTGTTCGGATGTGATTGGCAAGTACTATTCGTCTCCAACCTGCGGCAAAAGGCGGGCAAAATTGGTCGTCAATTGTTCAACTTTCCACCAGTTTCTCGTTTATTGACAGGAATGAACTAATATTTTGGTCCCTATGCAGTATATACCAAAGCCATTATTAACCTCAGTGTCTGTGAAAGTGGTGGATATGTACCTCCACTTCGCAGAGTAATTGTTAATTAAGGGGGATAATGATTAAGAAAACAAGATTGTTAGTTTAAGTTAACATGATTCTGAGCCAATGAAAGCAAACTAAATGTGCTTTCACTCACTTCCTTGGGCACCAGGCTATAAAGTTTGCAATTTATCTTTGTTTAGTATTGTTTGCATCTATCTTTTGCCAGTTAGGAGAGGGTGATAAACTGTTTTTGCACCAGTGTTGGCACAGAGCTGTGGCAGTGTCACTTGTTGAGGTGTCAGCGCTTCGTTTACCCAAAATGCCAGGAGGAATATCACATGAAGCATTTAAAGAAGATACTGGACTCCTTAAACAGGTGTTTAAAAAGCCAAATATCTTGTCACGTAAAGTATTTTTAACAAATGGTAAACACCACAGCGTACACTATTGAGTTATGGATGCACGCGGGAGGTTGCTAAGCACGAAAGAAGCGTAAGAGTCGCTCGAGGCGATAGCCGAGAGCGACTCTAGCTTCTTGAGTGCTTAGCAAACCTCCCAAGTGCATCCATAACTCAATAGAGTACGCTGTGGTGTTTACCATTTGTTTTATAACATAACATTGATACATTGTAGCTAAAGAGTTCCCTTTTATTTAACAAATCTTACGTGACCAGAAAAAACAAGCGCGCGGGGTTTATTTACTAATTAATTGGGTTTATCAGCTTTGTCAGATAATTTTAACTGGCTGCCCGCAGAGTTGTTTCGAGCGTTAGCCCTTCATCAAAGCGAATGGGGACGGGCATATACTCGAAACGTTAGTTTTAGAAACTCTATGGTCGTCAGTTTACATTATCAACTCAGCTGATAAAACCAAATTATCTTATTCATTACATCCATTTTGAAATCACTGGTTGTCCTTGTAATCTGATTGGCTTTAATTTGTGCGATTTATTCCCAAATCGCACCATTTTTTGCCCTAAACTGCATAATTTTACAAATGAATAAAGGCTGATAGTTTCGAAAGAAACTGTTTGGGGCTGCGTCGGTGGGAGTAACGAAATAATTTGGATATATCAACAAAGTTGAAATGGTAAATTGGCCACCGTAACGATTACAAAAGCTGACGTTTCGAGCGTTAGCCCTTCGTCGGAGCGAATAGAGGAATTGTGGGTTGTGTGTGCTTTTAAAGGCAGAAAATGGAGCTACGTTATTGGTGGGAACATGGCAACGAGAAAAACAGGAATAAATTAGTGGAATGAATATGATACGAAGAAAGTTGTATTGAGACTTATACCTTATTACTTTGTTTGTTGTCATTCTGTGGCTGTATGAAGTTTGAATTTGATTTGTAAAGCATTTAACACATACGTCGTGAGCTTTTCCTTGTGACATGCTTTACTATTGAAGGCGTATCCTATTATAATATATTATGCGTGATTGACGCACGCACATAAAAACGGGCAACTTTTGATTTGCAGTTTAGTGTTTTGGTTATCATCCGAATGATCTACATTTGTTTAGTATCCCCTTGATAAAATTGTATGATGTGAGAGACTTTTCTTTTGTTAGGTGACACTAATAGCTACAACGTCATACAATCGACTGATGCAGCCAGGCTATGAGCAGCAGCTGTATGAGTGGCTGTGGGAGGTCATGCTCTCTCTCAGGCTTCACCCAACTGATCTACCAACACCAGTCATGCAGTTCACTCAGCAACTACCTACTACAGATGAGTTAGAAGGTGATATAGCATTTATAATGGAGAATAAGTTTTGACAGTGGAATAACGTGGAAAAACCGTGTTATCAGTGAACGATATTCCTCTAACTAACGTTACAAGGGATGAGGGGCACTCTTGGAAAACTATATTGGTTCTGCATAGCATGTTTTATTTTGTCTTTTCCTTTTATCCCACACCTTTCTTTTCCTTACCTGAATGCGAGATATATAGTTGCATTTGCTAGTAACTTGTATTTCACACCCTGCTTCAAGAGAGTGCGAGACCGTACTTGATTTCAGACCAAACTTGTTATACATGACTCTATACCATAATTATAACCTTTCGGCGAGGCATCTACATAGCTAAATAGCTTACTTAAGGTTACAGCCGAGAAAATCCCCCACTCTTTTAAGGCAAATATGCATGTTTAATTTCAAGCTTTTAGATGTCCTGAAAGCCCTCTTCCTTGATCTTATTAGCAGGTGGAGAAGGAGGCCTTGGTTTTGCAAGCCTTGTGAAGTCGTTGTCAAAGGAAACAGTTGAGCTTCATAACGAGAGTTCCCTTTCAAGTATGACCCATGCTATTAAGGCCGGTGGACAACTTGCTAGTTATGCTGCGATAGCAATGACTACTATTGGTACCAGGTTAGTATAATATAAAATATGGTTTATTTCGGACCACTTGCAGCCTAAGGCTGAATTACTGGTACAGTTTTAAAATTATACACACTGGAAACCTAAATAAATAAATACACACAATACTTTACACAGGTTGATACTTAACGGTAACGAAATTTTTAGTACAAGTTACAAGTTAGATACTCCTGTGCTAACAAATATATTAATTATATATTAATTATAGTAAATAAATTGATTTGTCAAAATTCCAAATCGGCTACCGGCTAACCCAATCGGCCATTTACAAACCATAGCAGAGGAGTTCATTTCCTCAGACATATCCTGATGAGGGACAGAGTGGGGGATTGGAACCTATCACCTCCTGATCTGAAATTTAGCACCCCAAGCAAGCAATCCACGCTGCCTCCACTTTTCGTCACTTCCTCTCCTCTCTTCAAAGAGCGAGCTGCAAACCACGAGCTTCTCAAACGTTATACCTTATTTCAGTACTCACTTTGTTTCTTGTTCTTTCATTTTACAGTCGTGATCTCTTTTTGGGCGAGGGTCTGGATTACTTAACAGTCATTTTAAATGAGAAGTGTTTTGATGCGGCACTGAGGATTGTAGCTAATGTGACACCCATGTTTTTTGGTTGCCATGAGAAACTTACTCAGGAGGCAAGGTATTGGAAGGTTTCCAGCGGTTTGATTATTTTTCATTTGTAAACTGGGGAAAAAATGAAATTTCTTATTTTGACCCTTCCACAACCTTCGTGACGTTTCCACAACCTGAGTGAAAGCCATCATCAAGGTCTAGTGATAATAGCCTCTGCTCTGAGCTGAAGTTCGAAGTTCGATTGAGACCTTAAACTTTTTAAAAGAAGCCTGAGAAAATTTCAGGCTTCTACGAAATTCGAACAAGTGCGTCTCAAGGTTTGATCATCGGTTGAGACCATCCACTCCTTAATCCTTAATCCAATATTACTGTAAGTTTTCCTTACAGTAATATTGCAGAATCTTTAATTAAGATCGTCACAATGAAAAGAAATGAACGCCAACCTAAAAAGCTCTGATTGTTAGACAAATTCTTTTTGTCCGGCAGTGCTTATGGGAAATGTATAGCGAAGAGTATTAAGAATATGGATACTGATGTTGGCGTGTAATGGTTTTTCAAATCATGTTTTGTTCTCAATATCCATTTGACTGATTAACTTTTACAGGTTTGTGACAGGAATCCATCGCTTAAGCCAACTTGACAGTGATAATGCAGGTTATGCTGAAAAGCTGCTTCAAGCGTCCACTGTGGGCCCGTACTGTAAGAGGCTGGTGGGAATTATTCAGGTAAAAGTGGAATGTCGATTTAGAAGGCATTGAAGATAGATAAACTGCCGTAGCAAATTTTAAAAGCTGACATTGTGAGCGGCAATAGTCAGATCAGTATCATTTGCCCGCTCAGACGCTTGGCTACAAAATGATAAATCCCCTAATGATGATTTTCATGATATGGAATGGTATACACGTCGTCAGCCAGTCACTAAATCAACCAATCAGATGCAAGAACAAAACCAATCTTGCCTTGTAATTCGTGTTTTCCTTACGCTTCAGGCAGTCCACAGCTGACTTCTTAATGGCTGGTGTTGATACTTTCTTGCTTCTGTTCTCTTTTTGGCTTTACACTACGTAGTTGAAATGCACTATAATTTGGAACTTTGACACTTAATCAAGGAACAAATGTTTGTAACTGTTTCACTCTGCTGCAGGGCCATGTTCAGAAGTTCCAAGCTCCTGGTATGGTTGGCTCAATGAGCGTGGTGGAATTCTGGTTACTTACGTTGTGCGCGTTGCCATATTGGTACAGGTCAGTGATAGCAATCAACGGAACACGTGTAGCTACAGCATGCAAACACTGGTTTAGAAAAGAAGAAATGGCTAAAAGGATGGTTATTTAAAATTTGTATAAATCTACTAGCGTTCTAACAAAAAAAATGCTACAATCTTTTTTGTTGTGCCGTTCGTTATATATTCCGTGATAGATTGTGAGTGTGGGAAGTTGGCAATTATTTGCACATAGCGTGACCTTGTTGTATCATTTTCCGATAGAACCATGAGCCTGTCTTTTGGCTTAACTTATACAAAAACGATCAGATAATGTGCTCTCGATTTCTGTGCTTGGTAGTTAATATCAAGCAATAGAAATCTCGAGCTCATAAACTAATTGTTAAATAGAAAAAAACAGCGTTAAGATAGAGTCATAAACTATGCTAACTTAATATTTATTTTTATAAGTATTTGTATGAATCAGCGGGATGGGGAGAAAAGGCAAGAAGCTCTTGAATTTGTCTACTTTAAGGAAAGCTCTAGATGAAGAGTGATTTATGAAAATTAAGATGTGAAGTTCTTGTTGGTTACTTGGATGTGTACGATCACAAGTTGTTTTTTTTTTTTTTCTTCAGAGATGTTAGTGTACAGTTTCTGCTTGATAATCTGATCAAAATAGCTTTGAGAATTGAAGGCAGCCTGTTCGGGATACAAACCCACCTTATGGACGCCTACAAGGTGTGTGTATAAGCTAAATGGTTTGTGTGGTGTTACACTTGAATCGTTGATCAGGATATGTTTTACCTATACCATCATAGTCACCCTGATAACTTAATTACCAGCTGAAGATGGATTGGGAAAAACGCAAGTGCTGTAGTCTGCAATTAATATTTTGGCAAGCTGAGTGTCGATAAACTTTTGAGTCAAGTAAAAAGTTGTTTTTTAGGCGAAATGCATTGTCTGGTTTGCTGTGGTATTATTGGTTAAGTTACTTAAGTCTTCTGAAAAAAAGCAATTGCTGCAGTTTGCAGCTAATGTTTTGGCATGCTGATATCAACTTCTGACTCAAGGAAAAAAGTTGTTTGTCAGGCGAAAATTTTTGTTCGATTTGCTGTGGTGTTATTGGTGTAAAACTCAAGCACATTTTGATACACGGGTCCTTATATCATTAATTAGTCACTTGTAATGGTCCAGTAGTTGTTGAGAGGATTTTCCACTTAGTTATTCACCAAGCATCAGCGATAAATTTTACTTGACTCGTTTGATGGCAGGATTTTCTATCGATTGAGAATGGCAAAAGGAAATTGCATTGGCTTTCGTTTACTGAGCTCATAGATTGGTTGAAAGCATAAGCCACCGTCTCAGCCAATCAGATGCAAGAGCGGCGTGGTCAATTGTATTTTCCCGCCACTTGAAGACAGTTGTAGGCGTCTTCTTCTAATTATCATGCGACATTTACATTTGCCCTGACTGACCAGTGTGATAACTTTTCGTCAAGGGTTTATGATACCAGACCGAAAAGTGCTTTTTAAGTACCCGAAGCCCGTGCATGCTGCTTAGTGCTGAGTAACTGGAGAACCATGGTTTAAATGTACTTCTTGTACGATTTGTTTAGTTACTGCTCAGAGAAACCGGAAATCAAGGAGTGATTGCGTCAATTTTCTCATGGGTGACTTCAAGTAGCACTGCACCTCCCGTGCTTTGGGAAATTAAGGTGAAATAATCTTCACAGCGAAGTGTATCATAGTAGTCAGACCTCTTTCTGTCTTTTTTCTTTCTTAATTAATAGTTTGTAACATCAGTGCAAACAGCACAATTTACAGAGGACATTACAAAGTGCAATCGATCTTTCGATGCTTTCCCTTATTTTACTTTACTTATATTATTATAAGATATAGAATCAACACATATACATGTACTTACCCATTTATTACACAATAATAATGCGTTGATGTATTTGAGATATACCCCCCCCCAAAGAATTTTCTCCGGGTTTATGAAGTAAAATTAAAGGAAGAAGAGAGGAATTGCCCTAATTATGTTTAGTTTCCACCCCTTCCTCTGCATGTACGGGGTATCAGTAAATTGAGTACAGTCAATACAATCCCGCGCACCTCAGTCACTTTGGAAAAGATGCTTACTTTGCTTTTCATGCTTTGCGAGATGCTTAAGACTTGTGATCTATATAGCGCTCTGTAAGTGTCAAATTTAATGTGACATTGCTGAAAGTTAACAAGAGTAGCTTCCAATCCGTTGTATGACTGTGTATCTATGTTAAACACGAAGGCGCGCTATATAAGGAAGTCTTCCCTGGGAAGACCTAGGCTCATTTGTCACTCACCGTTGACGTGTGCGGGTCAAATTTAAATGCTGGTAGACGAACAAAAGGAGCTAATGAGATATCTATTGTTTACTTCCACCAGCATGGTGGCATGAGGTAACGTGCGAACCACCTACTTCGATCTCAAATTTACCGCCACAAATAAAGACAGTTTCCATTGGAGAAAGGAAATACAAATCTCAAAAATTCTTGTATTGTGATGAAGACACAAGACAATTTTGAGGAATGCGCCCGCTGTTCACTGCTTTGGAGTATCTGTAGCTCAAGCTGACTTGACTCTAAGAGTTCTACATCACACGACGGTTGATTGACAAATGGTCCAGTGGGACTTAAGGCTCCTTTTATAGCGCGCCTTCGTGTTTAAATTTAACCCGCACACGTCAAAGGTGAGTGACAAATGAGCTTAGGTCTTCCCAGGGAAGACTTCCTTATATAGCGCGCCTTCGCTTTGAAGGTGATGTTTTATTCCGCTGTTTCAATTTGTTTTTTCCTTTTTTCAGGCCTCTCCAGATTACAGTTATTATGCTTATTGTGTACTGTGCATGGAAACTCAGATGGAGGAAAATTGTGGACTGTCTGTTGAAATAAACAAGAGGCTACTGAACAAACCAGATGCGACAGTTGATGCAGTGTTGAAGGTGATGCTAATGAATTTGTATAAGTTTACATACTTACTTTCCTTAGTAGAAAGACAGAGCGCCCGTAAATAGACCGGCTTTATCACTGGCACATATGCGGGGTAACTCTTCCGTATGTCCATTGATTTCAGGTCGCTTTGAAATTTGGTGTAGAGGGTTTTGTGTTGTGCGAAAATGTAGCGAAATACTCGCAGAAAGGACATGAATCAACAAAAAACCCATCACAGCGCTGGTACTGCGAGCGCTTTCACTAGAGCGCGAGAAACTCATCCAGAGCGAGGCAAATGGTTGCTATGCGGTAGAACTTTATTTGGTTGTATCTAGACAATTTTTTTTTCGTGAGGCATTGAAGAATTTAGACAGAAATGTTCCGACTTGGTGATTTTCGTCTTTCACTTAGTAACCGTTTCATAAGTTAGGAACAAACAAACTCATCAACAAAGTTAAATATGCTCAATTTTTTATGGTTATTGCTGTTGTCGATTTCTTATATCCATTTCAGAAAGTAGTGAAAAAGATGAAACTGTCGTGGACACCTCTGGTGCCCAGTCTTTCTATCTATCGCTGGGCCAATCAAGCTTTGGTCACAGAGGTTGATCATCCCATTCTGCCTATGATGTGGCAACGCTTTTTTAGTCTTTATCTCCAGAGACCGGTCACGGAGCCTGGGTAAGTGCTTAAGGTACTTAAAGCGATTGCCTAAATAAACAACGATAAGAATTTATCATTCAAGTGATGGGGAAAAGGTATTAAGAAGTCATTGAGGGAGAAATTATAGTTGCGTTGCTATAACGCTATGGAAAAGGTTATGTAACACGTATATGCTGTGCATGGACAAGGATCAAAGGATGAATTTTAAATATTGAAATCCCAAACAATCCCCATATGTTTTCTCTACTAGCTAGGAGCGTTAAGAAAAAGAAATAAATAAACAAACAAGCACTGAAAATAAACAAACAAACAAACATTGAAAATATGCGCTGATATGGTCCTCTTCTTACTGTTTTCTATCTTGATAAAGGTGAGGAGAAAGAGTGAGGTGCTGTTAATTGTTTCCATTGTGATCAAAGATAAAATCTGACATGTATTTCGTTTATTTCAGCCTTGCTCAGCGATCAGGTGTTGGGTATCGTTTCTTCGATAGCCAGAGTTATAGCTCCATGTTGAAGAAAATGAAGCAGAGACTGCAAGCCACAGCTGAGCATCACCGGAATCGATCCGTGGAGACAGGGGCAGACCATGATGCAGTCACTGATGGTGACAGAGAAATAAGCAAGCAGTTTGAACAAACCAGAGCATTGCATGAAAAACTTACAGGGTATCTTGATGGAGAAATTTTTTTTATGATAGAGTTTTTGTTGTGAATATGATGGACTGCTGTTGTGTGGGCGATAAATAATTCTTAAGTGCCCTACTATTGAAAAAGGTCCGCATCTCTGGAAGTTGAATGTAGAGTAGCAGTGTGAATTTACCCCGAGCAACTCTTGTCAGTAGTGTCTTAGACCATTTTGCAGGTTTAAAGAGGTTCAGGATGACATGACTCAGTACCGTACACGTTTTGACTCGTTTCTCAGCTTATAGATCGTCCGCACAAGGGAAGGAAATCGGAGAAACGTATCACAAACATTGTAGGAAACTGCGGGAAACTGGAATGGAACTATATTCTCTTAGAGAGATACAGAACCAAAGATTTTGTCCCAACATCCATCGGAACTAGATTGTGAAAAAAATTTCGTTTATATTGTTATTAGTTTTTTTTTTTTTTTTTTAATTTGTGGTTATTCATGATTTTTTTTTTTAATGTATTTGTAACGCTGGACTTTAAACTCAGAATTTCAAGAATTTTTAATTCATTTATGTTTAGCATTTTGCTTATTTTTTGACGAATAACCATACCGCGGGTCTTTATCATCGATCGCCTGTTCAAAAAAAATCGATCTCTTCAGACCACAATTCACAGTCCAACCATTTTTTTTTTTTTGCTAATAAGAGAGAGTAAAATAAAGTTATATGCCTCATTATCAATAGTTAACAAAAAAAAGAAAACAAAATGAAATTTCTAGTGAAATTGAAGGTTTCTCATTGGCTTCTCACGGTGTTGATATTCTCATGCGGCAGGTTTTATCAAACACTGGCGTTGTGGTTGGATGAACCGAGACTTCACGACCCCACTCTGTACCTACCGTCATTGCCGCTTCCTTATGATGCAGTCAGGCTTGAGACTTTACTCAAACCAGAACAGGTATGGAGCTGCTATCCAAGCCCTTACACTCCTAGCATTGAGCCGTATGCAAATAAACCCTTGAGACTTTACTCAAACCAGAACAGGTATGGAGCTGCTATCCAAGCCCTTACACTCCTAGCATTGAGCCGTATGCAAATAAACCCTTGAGACTTTACTCAAACCAGAACAGGTATGGAGCTGCTATCCAAGCCCTTACACTCCTAGCATTGAGCCGTATGCAAATAAACCCT